GTATCACTGTGCAACATGAAATATTTTTATTGTCGTATTAATTAAATTTTTGTAAAAAAAAAAAAAAAAATTAAATATTTAACGTACATTAAAGTACTCCTTTCATCACTTTACGTTTACCATAGGAAGACGAGGTGTAGTTTAAAAAGTTAAATCGCTATTTTTCCATTCTTTATTTTTTAAAATGTTCTTAACAATCGTGCATCAGTCAGTTGACATAAATTATAAATACTATATACTTCGTAAAAGTGACAGGAGTTTCGTGCTATGCAATAGAACCGATCGTGCAAGGTGCACCTTTTCGATAATAATTCGGTTTTCCCGTAAATGAGCATCGTTGCGTGCTATGAAGGGTTTTGAAGGCAAGAACTTGAAACCAAAATTTTCAAGTTAATTTTATGACATTCTCGTGTATTGTTGTAACCATTTGTTTAAACTGATTTCTTGTTATTATTATTATGATTTCATTTCAACGCGAATAGTTTGTTAACGTTTGAACAAGAGTGTCTGTATGTGTGAGTGTGAGTGTGTATTTTATCCGAGGCTAATAAAAGAATAACGGTCAAGTATTGTACATCGGTAGGAAACATTGCTAACTGTTGGAGAAGACAGAGGCTCATGGAGAGACGAATCGTTCGATGAAAATTATTGTACATTGGACAAAAGTGTCAACTTTATGGATCGCTCGAGGCGCGAATGAAAGTTACAAAAGAAATTTATCGTCGAATCTTACAATAGTTCTTTGCTATTTAAAAGAGAAAGAAAAGGGAAGTATTAAAAAAATATACTTATGTACATATTCGTGGATAAAAAAATTTCTCTCCGAGTCAGCAACGGTGGTGAATTAGGTATCGATCTTTTAAATCATACGAGTCGTGCATTTGTTTCCATCGGGACAGCTACAGGTATCTTGCAGGCTTCTCTTTTTTTTTTTCGCGATATTAGCAATTCCAACTGGTTCAGTTTTTACCGTGGCTCGATACATGAAGAGTTTTCGTTGTTGGCTCGAATTTTACAACTCGGCCACGTAACCCTCGACGACGATTCCCGGTGCAATCTCTTCGGTGACACTTTCCGAGGTTACGTTGCCTCGACTTCCGGTGCCCATTCGATCTTCTCCCCAAGCTCCCTCCTTCCCATATTTCTCGGACATTCTGACCATTTCGTTGGGACTCCATTCGGGAGAGTCTCTGCGGCTACCTCCGCTTCTGTATACAACGTTTGATTCGTTCTCGCGATTCCCACGATAACCCGTACTTGGCAGTGGTGACGGAGAATGAGAATAGCTATCGTAAACGGGTGTACGTTTCATCGACGCTCGATGATGACTCGTTTTTCTCAGCATGGCCTGATTTGAACGAACGTCAGTTCGAATACTTACATATAAATTTACGTATATATTTCACGTATATTTCACTGTGTAATGTTTTTTGCTTATCTTACCTGAAAGTTGAACGGTGGTTCGTCGGTGTTTTCGTTACCGTCGTAGTTGTTTCTACGACCGATCATCTGCAGTTCCTGAATCGGATTGATACTGCAACGAAAACGTAAAAGAAATCTCTGTCAGGATTGTCGAATCGCAATAGTTTTTCAGTTTTACTTAGCGAGATCGAACCGATTAGCATTGCCGCTACTCCTGTTAGTTTTATCATCGTATTCCCAATCGTGGCTACCAGCGTCTATATTTTTACTTCGAATATTCGAGCTATAACTGTCGGTACTGCGCGTCGGGGGTGGTTGTGACTGATTGAACGGAACAGGTGGAGGCGGTGCGTGTTTCCTAGAGCGTATCGATCCGGTACTATCGTTATTCTGAAAAGAGAAAGACAGTCAGAGAATGTGGCAGCAAGTAAGAGTTGAGAATTAATGAAACTTACTGAGCGAGGATTATGAACGTTAGCAGATGGTACAGGGCTACGGTTGGTCGAATGATGTTGAAATCCAGAGTTACCCATTCTGCTTCGGGACGTCTCTTCGGGTGGACATCGGACCGAGATATTCGGGTCTCTGGAAAACGGAGTGTCGATCAGACTCTGTCCCTCGATGCCCGAATGCGCCACTCGATGTGGCGAGTTCGTTGTCTGAACCTCGACGTCTGAAAAATGCAGAGCAATCCGATGGAGAGTGAGTTCTCTCCGAGAAGAAGAGTCGCCACTCGGCTCAGGCAATCGAGATTTTCTCGTTTTTTTTTTTTTTTTTTTTTTTTTTTTTTTTTTTTTTTTTTTTTTTTTCGTACTTTCGATTCCCAACACGCATCTCTTAAACGACATAGTCTTGCGAGACAATTGTTATCGTTATCGACAATTCGAAATTAGTCATTGTAATTGTACGAATTGGATTAATTGGCCGAACCGATCGTAATTACGACTGAAAGAGAAAGAGAATTTGATGAAAACGTGCCGAGTCCAGACGAGCAACGGATACACAGAGTGACACGGAATCAGACACGTCAATCTGTCGTTCGTTGTTTTGCATAACGAGTTTGCAAAGAAGATTACCATCCAAGAAAAGTGCATTCGCGAACCACCCTGTATGCGTACTCGACGAACTCGGATCAGGTAAAAAGAAAGAAGAATGGTATTTGAAATGTACGAAAAAGGTATGAAAAAGAATTCTGTTCTCGCGTGGACGAAGGTGTAGGAGCGAGTATCGGTATCGATGCACCTCGACTGAACGAAACAAAATGTGATAGGCACCTCTGGTACGACTGTTCCTGTTGGCCCAAGGCACTGTTTGTCTCCGTAATGGTGCGTCCCAGGCTTCGTGCTCGTCGTCAGACGTTGATGACGACGCGGATCTGCGAGAACGTATTTCTCAGTTGACGGCACAAGTCTCTGAAGAGTTCTTAAGCGACTCTTACCTCGAGATAGAGACGGCACACAACGGAGAACGAAAAATAATGACAAAACAGCGCGCGTACATAAAATGCAACGCGAGAGACACGTCGGGGACAAAAAATAAGCAAGAAACATGAAAAAACGCATTTCAATATTTTGCCTCGTGTCAATTTCTTGGCGACTGGTTACGTAACAAAACGCGAGCAAGACAATAGGCTATGCGACAGCTACGTACGATACGATTAATGGTGAATGACGTCTAATGATGAAGGTCGATACTAATTTTATTAGAACGATATTTCTCGTCTAAGCTTCTCTATCGCCCACTGACCCGGGATTTCTGATACATCTATCTACCGCTAATGCAAGAACATTCATAGAAAGAATAACGTAAAATTGACTCACCCAACACCTTTCATTTGTCTCTTCGTGTCGGGAAAAGGCAACTCTTGGTAAAAGTTGAAAGGTAACTTGTGCACTTGAGGTGGTCTCAACTGGCCTAAGTACGCTAATTTGGAAACGTTTGTATCTACTCGATCTATAGATATTTGTTCATTCGTCGTCGCGACAGACACTACTATCGCTTGATTGAACAGATGCACCTGTTTGCGAAAAAATTTCGGATGAAATCATCCTAGGGGTAATTAGACGGTCTTTTCTCGCGGAAATCGTAGAGATCACTCACTTGTTGCGAGAATTGCACGAGGTCTTGATAACGGGCTGCACGGTAACGTAGGAGGACTTGGAACACGCTCTTCGATCTCCACTTGCTGCTGTAGAATTTCATCATGTCCATCGTTTCCGAACTCATTTTCTCCTTCCCGAGAAGAGGCCCCATCTCCTTTCTCACTGTGTGTCCCCTGTATGCTGTTTTTCGTATAAGAGATCGTTTGATCAAACAACTTCGAAAAAAAAAAAAAAAAAAAGAAAAAGGAAACAACACCGCGAGCGAATGAAACGAATGCACGAATGAAAATGGCAACTACTAGGCTCGGCAAAAATCAAATGTTTTTCGCTCGCTTCTCGTTTTTCATCCGTCTCCCCTACCTTTCTGAATCATCACCGCTGCCTGATCTTCCGACATATCCACCGTCTCCGTCTTCTTTATAGACGCTTTCTTCACTGAAACAATACCCGTTAAATTTCTCGTCACGGACGGAAGAAGCAAGTACGAGCCCCTCGAAAAGCAAAAAAATGGTTTCGCGGCGGAACGGCGAATCAGCTCGTACTCTCAACGTTGCTATTCCCGACGATCAATTTACCTACCAACTTCTTTTTTCGCGCTCTTCGTGACCTTCGATGCTATGTTCTTGCGCGCTAGAAAGGCCCTCATCATGCACTGGACTTTTACTATCTTTTTCACCTGAGTCTCGTACAGTCGCGAGAGGTACTCCTCGTTGTAATACTTTAGAAACACTTTGGTCTTTCCAATCACCCATCCTTCCATCTTTAACCTGATCAGTAGCAATCGGCAGTTGTCTTTGGTAATATCGACGTTCTCGTCGAAGTCGAATGCCAGGAATTGGTATCTGAAATCGAGGGTGTTTCAACGTGACGAAAGTAGTAACGGGAAAAGATCGACGCACTCGAGAAGGGTACTTCGAGTGGATTACCTTCGAAGGAATTCTGGAAATGATACTCTATGCGGGTAACCACGTTGCCTGGCTTTGGCAGTG